AGCCCCTTGTCAGCTGTGTATAACAGCCATTGATTTCTTCCTCTGTGCTTCATTTTTTCCGGCAGACTGCTTAGGATTCAGATAGATGGACTACTTCCTCCTGCCCCATCGAGACATCTCAACTACTCGCAGCTAGCAACCCTCTATAAGAATGATGTAACATGTTAAGATTGCACTGATTAACCCCATGGTCAATAAAAGTTACAGAATAGTCCATTTAAAACGCAACCCAAACCATAACAGTATTTATAAGCTTTGGTAGCATAAATATAACAAGACAAGCGAGTTCTTTGTTAGTTTTAATTTATTACGAAAAACTCACGTCCATCAGCTTCTTTAAGACATACAAAGACTTCCTATGACCTGATGTTTTGTTACAATTCTGTGTATTTTTGTCTTATTCGGTACTTCATTGTTAAAATAAGCATTGCTGAATGTTTCACGAACAGCAACGGATTTCGTTTGCGAAGTTACGTATCGAAATAAAGACGCGTTCTGCTCGTCACTAGACCACGTTCGCCTGGCAACTCGGGTGACCTTGGCACGAGGGATAGGTTTGGAAGGTATATTAAACGCGAGAGGACCAGCCTTTGCTTCCATTTTTGCAGCGTTGCATATTATACACCGAACAAACATGTAAGAACTGAATAAAGTACGCATATAAATATACGGTTATAAACTTTGGCTGGACGGTGTTTATTGTCGCGTTTTGCCGTCCTATTAGGAAAAACTGTTCTCCAAACTGAATCACAAAGCACGAATCCTTCACTATCAAACAAGATCGTTGTGTGAAATAGGCAATGTGCTCATCTGTCAAGGGGCCCCCACCCCAATTTTACAGACTCCCCGCGAGCGTCGGTGCCATATGTTTAAACTTTCCCGAACTATTTCCGAATATATCAAGAATATGTTTGTCAGTTCGATTCACGTATCAGGAATGTAAACATACAAATAACTTAATACAAAGTTATTTTTTGGTAAGTTTGGCACACTTCATTTTTCTGGTTTTAATGTATAAAATATACGTACGAGTAAAAAAAAACACGTAATCTGTTTTGAAGAATAGTTTTAAACCAATACAATTTTAGAATAAATTTATGATATTTTCATATTCTTTTCGTTATTGTTAATGAGATTAAATTTTGTGCTAATATCAAATTGTAAGATTATTTCTGGGTCCCCAATGGTCCGCCATTGCATTAAAGTGACCCGGCTAATAATTTGTAGTTCTTTTCAAACTGTGTTCTAATTCAAACTAATTCACCTCCTCCTCGTTTTGTTATTGTTTCATATTTCTTCGTCACTCCACCTTGTATTCTTCTTCTTATAATGATATCCATAAATTATGCTCAAGACTGTTCCAACGTTAGGTCACTTCCTTCATTCATTATTTTCTGCATATGATCTGTTAACTGATTTCTGTACCCAATTACTTATATATCAAAACAGTTTTATTCTTCTATAAAGCTACAATTCCTTTTGTAATCGATTCTCATTTGTCGATTACTACCACATTTCTTACATTTTATTGCATATGCCTACCGTTTGATTCTCTCTTAACCCATTATCCAAATGCCCTTCCGTACAGTAAAACTTATATTGGAATAAGTTTATAACATTTTCAGAACACGTATATTTAAAAGCACCGTTAATTTAAATGCGATTTTCCTATTTAATGCCTTAAATCTATGGTTTCAGCATGTGCTGTACTAGGCCTACAACCCAAACATTTGTTGACTTGTTTCATATAACCGAAAACTGAGGTTTCTGTCTGCTCACTCACATTACGTATCTGCAGTTATTCATGTGTAACGACAATAGGTGAAAGGTAAAATAGTCATTTACTTGGAAGACCAAATGGTAGAGGATAACATTAATGTGAATCATAGCAATATAAACTCGTTCAGAACAAGGTTCGATCCTTGGTGACCATTTGCTTGATAAAAAGGCAGTAAATATGGGAGTATTCAAGAACAAGACCCTCTCATAATTGACCTGCGACCCGCAGTTCTCAGTTTGAACACTTCACCTCTATTCCTCACGTGCTGCAGTATTTTGCTGCGCGCATCATTCAACCCACAAAAAGCTTAATCCAAATCCTGGAGATTTTTTCTCTCTCTCTTTTTTCGTCTCTTTCGACAACTCCTCCTCCCCCTCCCCCTTTTCGCTGCAGTTTTTAAATTCCGTCAAGCTTTTCTGTGGGATTGAGTGGCCCTAGTATTTGTTTCTTTGTGGAATTATATTTCGTTTTTGCAGCGGGATTTCCGCCATATTCCATTTTCATTGGTGAAACAAATCGTCACAGGGTGTATCTGAAGATTTGACTCGTTTTTACATCAAGTACATTTCGACAACATTTTAAAACAACATATGTCATTCCTTTTAACCTCCTGTCTTTAAAGCCATATTCTACAACAACATCGATTCCTTCATTTACACTGCGCTGCTGTCAGTGAGATTAGCAGCTACCCAGACCTCCTCCCTTAACCTGTATTATGCTCCATCCGTGATTTAGTGACCCCTTGTGTCAGCGCTCTGAGCTGTCCGCTTCGAAGCGGCGCTGACAGACATTCACGTGCTCGCCACTTGATATTCTTTATCTGCAAGCACTGTGCCATTACAAAATCGCTAGACACACTGGTAGAATTCATTACTGCAAACTCGCGACTGATCGCTTCAACGCTTGGCGTTTAAATAACTGACAACAACGCTACATTCCTTAGCCCTAGCTGGGGCTTGCGCTGTCACGCGCAGGAAGGGACAGGGATTTTAAACAGCAGGGGTATTGTAATTCCGTATGAACGTTGGGACTTATCTACCCTTCTATTCAATCGATATAGGGGCTTTATGCTATATGCTGATCGACTTCATCCTGGTCGATGCATCGATGTATGCGTTCAAGACGTGGTGCTTAGAAACAGACGTGTCAATACTTTATTACGAATCAGTACAAACATAATGAAGTCGAAGCTACTTTGTGTTCAGAGAAGGAAATTGTTCAGTTTTTTGCTACAGGGATCTGGTAATACTGCATCGCGCGAGTAGTTCTGGTTGTGAAAAAGACGCCGGGTTCAAAGATCATAAAACACAGAACGAGAAAGGCCAGAAAGTATATGAAAGGCGAATAAAATAAATAATCGTGGCTAAATTACATTTTCAAATCCACCACTCGATAAATACGTTTTTATTCAACAATCTCCTGTTGGTACGAAATACCTGACGTTCAAATCTGCCAATAAAATATTTCTACCACTGGAACGCATCAATAGTCATTTCACATTTCATTTTAATATTATCCAGCACCAAATTTTCTTTCGGTCTCTTTACCATGAGATTTTCTTAAGTATACTTTTACATACACAAATACTCATTTAAGCATTCTCCTCGCGAGAGTGGTAATGAAGAAAAAAGTGATTAAGAACACGGGGTACGTAGTCAGGTTTTTTAAATATTATTTTTGAGATTCCTGTGCAAACTTTGTGATAATAAAGGGCGCAAGATACGAGGAAAAGAGGAAGATATAATATACAAAGAAACTGAGAAAACAAAGGTAACACGCAGAACTAGCGATAGGTACCACAGGAATCATCCTGATATTTGTTCTGCTTTGCATTATTTACCATGAATCTCTATTAAACCTGATGATCCTCTCAGACATGAAAACTTATCATCTCTGACCTTACCTTCAGTTTGCTGATTTACCACCACCTCAATACCATCATCCCTCCTGACCACTTAAAAACTAAAATTTTCCCTCACAAACAAGTTCCTCGTTCAACCTTACTTCATGTCCATATTTAGTGCCCTTAAAGTTTCTCATCATTTATTTATACTAAATTCTGCCCCAATTCCGTTCTTCTTCTTCTTCCTCCTCCACCTCTGTTTTTAGCCTCTCTGTTTTGCATCTCTAGCGATTTCAGTCCTACTCAGCTTCTTGCAGATGCAAGCATGAATAACGTAAGCCCAAGAAGACAAAGTAGCCTGAGGGTTTAGACAATCTACAGACCACCGATCGATATATAATATTGGCTCACTGCGTACTGAACTATGTACAGGCAAGATCCTCCTTAAAGGAGTAGTATTAATCTAAGTATAGATTACAGCTCGGTCACTTTGTCTTATTTTCCGACGTAGCAACTGTTGTCACACACGTAGACCTACAATTGTGAATAAGTCACGAGTTCTGTTATGCATGGACATTTAGGATGAAACCATAACCATCTTACCTCGTACGATGTGACTTAAATCTAATATGCTTCGAGCAAGAAATCAAAGCTTCGCGGAAGTTGATAATGCCCAGCCTCTAATGAAGAACGGATATCTGAACGACAATATACATTGAACATCTCAGAAAATGTACGCACATCGTAAAAATCGTGGGGAGTCCGCCAGAATTTCACATTTGAATGTCGAGAACGACAACAGTGAGATCAAGAGCTGTCTCAGGTCAATGACCCATTTGAGTGGGCGTAATGTCTGGCACTAGTCGGGACGGATGACATTGTCATCTCGGAGAATTCTCCACGTGACTGCGCTTCTGGTATTGGATTCCCCGAAGACCCGTGGTAACTTAAGTATCTTGGGGATTCCCCTCCCAGTCAGTTCTCCGCGCACAAAC